GGCTGCGCACAGCTTCACATTGCTGTGCTCAACCTCCTGTGCCACCAGGGGAGGGCCCACATCAGAATTCTTCTTTGTGTCTTCTTTCTAATATATCATTTTGTGTTATTTTCTGTCATTTGATAGGTAGTGCTTTCCTTTCTTAGGAAATGTAGCAGCCTTTTTTTTTTTACACTGACTTTCTTCATTAACTTTCCAGTGCTCAGCTCTCTGACTTCTACTACTTGGTAATAACTTTTCTCATAGGCATTTTGGACATCTTCATTTTGCCTATTACATTGGAAAATCCCCAAACACTGTATTCTGCTCTATTCTCTAACAGCAGAAGCTTTGGTTATATTCAGCAGTATATTAATCTTTTGATCATTTGCCCTTATGGGAAGAACCAACACCTTTACCTCTAGCTTGGAGTCTAGATTTGGTATAGTTGTGGATGACCTTCAGTTTTGGCAGAATTAAGGCTCACAATTTCTCTGTCATTTAAATTTAACTTTCCTTCTAATTGAGATTTGATTTTTTTGCTTGAATAAAATCCCATTTTAACGTTAGAGTGACTGTCCTAACTCTAAGATTTTGAGCATAAATAAAGAATAAGATTTTAAAAGTGATTCTCATCAGATCATAGACAAATTAATTATGAATTGGCATCTTTAAAGATTTCCAGTTCAGCAATAGTGATCACCTATTGTTTTGCCCCTTCTGATATACTCTTACTCTCCTCCCTTCTCTACCCTCTGTCTCTCTACCCAAGAGGCTCTCTGTGAGGACTATACCAGGGCTTCTGTGGCCTCTGACTTCCTCCAAATGCAGAGTCCCAGCTGGAGATCCAAGGGAGGGAGGAGAGTGAGGTCAGGCTAATTATTCTCTTGGCTCCCTCCTTGTGGGCCTGCCTTGGCTGCCTGTGCCCCTCCATCCTAAGGTCATGGTTCTTCACTGTAAGACTGTCTCCTTTTTGGTTCCTGTAATCAATCCTCTTCATCTCTTTTACCCTAGACATGGTAACAGTTCTTCTGCTATCATTTTCAAATTACATAAGTTTCCCTTGTAGTTCCCTACACTGTGTCCTTATCTTTTTTTTTTTTTTTTTTTTTTTATAGAGGCATGCTTTATTTATTTGTTTGCTGGTTTGTTTGTTTGTTTTGTTTATACATGCACTGGGTACAGTCAGAAGCGCGGGAGGGTGAGAGAATTCACCAGAGCCAGAGCGGGAAGCAGAGCAGGCAGAAGGACCGAAGCACACTGCTGAGGGGAGCAGCGGGCGGCAGGAGATGTCTGCGCGCCATGTGGGACCCTCCTCTGGTGGCCGGGGAGCAGCCGGGGATCGTACCGGCGCCGCAGAGGCTGCGCGCAGCTTCGCAACCCAGCGCTCAACCACTGCGCCACCGGGGAGGCCCTGTGTCCTTATCTTTATACATAGTCCATTTGAAATAAGTTTCCACAAATTATCCTAATTTGAAATATGCCATCTGTTACTTGTTGGGGTCCTGTCTGATACAAATTTATCATTTCTTAGATTTTGGATATGATGAACTATTTTTGACTAAGTACCTACTATAGACACATTATCTGAACAAAGTATGTGGAGTAGGCACAAAATAAGAGTCACTGTCTTCTGAGGGATCTGCCATGTGAAGACAAGCTTCTCCTTTACCTTTTTCACTATTCAATCATTAATTGAATAACTGCTGTAAGCCAGACATGGTCAATGGATCTGAGGCAAATATGTGAGCACCATTTGGTTCTTGCCATTATATATCTCTATTTGAACTGTGTATTTACAGAACATGCTAGCTATTCAGATCCTGTACCAGAAAGTGATGAAGCCCCTCTATCCAAGCCTCATATATTTTCCAGGGTTAAAGTATGGATTAAGAGTATCACTGCTGGGCCTCCCCTGGTGGCACAGCGGTTGAACCCTGGACTGCGAAGCTGCCCGCAGCCTCTGCAGTGCTGGATCAATCCCTGGCCACCAGCGAGGGTCCCATATGGCGTGACAGACCTCTCCTGCCGCGCCCGCTGTTCCCCTCAGCAGTGTATTTCAGTCAGTCTGCCTGTTCTGCACCCTCCTCTGGCTCTGGTGAATTCTCTCACCCTCCCGCACTTCTGACTGTACCCAGTGCTTGTATAAATAACTAAATAAATCTTTTAAAAAAAAAAAAAAGAGTATCACTGCCACCACTACCACTACCATCCTCATCATCAGTTCATAAGGAGCTGAGTGTGAACACATGGAGGACATGGGCTTTGCCTTATTCTTCTTTAGAGTGTTAAAACTACACTGTACCTTGCTTGAGCCTATAGGAGACTTTCATGCTGAAATTCATTTTGTTGTTTTTTTTTTTTAAGGTCACACCGCTTGTTTTATAAACCTCTCTAATATTCAGTTTCTGAGTCTCTGTCATTGCTCTTTGTGGTCCTCAACTGAGTAGGAGGTATCAACGTGATTTCTGTCTCCCTACAGCCCATAGTGTTGTAGATCCTCATTCGCCCTCAGTAACTTCCTGCCTTAAAAGCTTGATAATAAAGCAGAAAGATCACTAGCCTGTCTGTTTGTACCTGATGCCTGATCCTGCCCGGTTCTGTTCTTAGTTTTGAATTCGTAATTTTCACTCCTGATACAGTGATCTGTGTGATTCTCAAGCATGACCATTCCTGAACTCTTCATAGGATCCCTTGTGCCTTGCTCTCTCTGAATGGGAATCGTGTAGAGTGTCAAGGAAACCCTCTAAGCAGATAGAAAAGTTCAGTTGAGCACAGTCTTTTAATTATTTTAGAATTAGGTAAGCTTCAGAAGGTTAAATTGATTTGGGAAATAACTTTAAAAAGTTTCTTCACTGTGGGCCTCCCCGGTGGTGCAAGGAATTAAGACGCAACCTATGAAGCTACCCGCAGCCACTGCAGCATGATTTCCATCCCCGGCCAGGGAGCTACCCACATGGCTCAGCAGACCTTTTCTGACTCGCCTGCTGCTCCCCTCAGCCATGTATTTCAGTCAGTCTGCCTGTTCTGTTCCCCGCTCTGTCTCTGGTGAATCCTCTAACCCCCACACCTCTGGCCTGTACCCCAGTTCTTATACGCATAAATAAAGAAATCTTTAAAAAAAAGTTTCTTCACTGTAAGACATCTCTTAGAACTGATGACTACTTTTTGGGAAAACCTGCTTTGCATTGTTGAATCCACTACACTCTCTAGTGAGAGTAACTTTCCCCTACATTGCTTTCAATGTCTGCTCACTAGAAGACATTGGTGTTAGAATACCTAGAATTTGGCAGATCAAGAAAGATGTAATACTCCCTATTCTGTGTGAAGGAGAGGAATGTGTGTGAGTGATCCTGTGAGTGATCCTTTTAGTTATCATTAATATCATTCTAAGATGATTTTGACAGCCCTGCACTTCATGTTCCTAATAGGAGACATCATCAATTTACAAAACAGTCAAAACTCCCCCTGATATTTTCTGGAGTTAGGGCCAAGGGGTTGTGTCTATGATGATCCTTTTTGATTCTACCAAATACATTGGGGGCAACCAGGAAAAAAATTCATTATACCTTACTGTAAAAGTAGGACTTGTGACTAAAAAGTTGTAACAAGCTTCAAGATGGTTTTATGGATGGTTTTCTCTCTTTGGCCTCCTTTCCTTACTCATTTCCTGCTTCAAGAATATCTCAACAACTTGTCCAAGTATGTCTCAACTCTTTTCTTTTTCTTTACTTGTCTTGCTGCTTCTCTGTAGGTGAACAAAACACAATCAAATTATTTCATATAACCCAAAGTCTTACAAGTCTGTAGATAATTTTGGTTGTCACGAAGTAATACTGCTAAGATTTCTACAAAACACAAGACAGCGCCCTATGAAAAAGACTTATCTGGCTAAAATTTTAATAGTTCTAAGGTTAAGAAACACTTATATAGGCCCTTATCTGTCCAATATAACTCTTTAATAATGAAAATGTTCTACTCAGTTGTTATTACTATTGATACATATGACCATTGAGCACTTTAAATGTGGCCTGTGAAAATGAGGAAGTGAAATTTTTATTTAATTTTAATTTAAATAGCCACACTATAGCTAGAGGCTACCATGCTAGACAGTGCAAATCTAGACCATAGGTCTCCTCTTTGAATACCTTAGCTTACAATTGATGAGCAGAAATTACCTGAGTAATTTGGATGATGAGGAAACTTAGAGCTAGCTGCAAAGGAAGTGTCTTCAAAGAAGTCATGTTATTGGAAGCAGTGTTGGATTCCAATGGAGAAGGAAGAAAGTTTGGAGGGGCCCCATCATTAGGGAGTTTATATGAGGCAGAGCCCAGAAAGCCATGGGGTGCCTTCTATTGAAAGGTGTTATACCATATTTATATCCGAATGGACATAGAATTGGATTAACCGTCCTGGGGAAAGAAGTTTAGTGAATAAAAAGGAATGGATTTGGATGGAAGAGATGATGGTGGGTAAAGTAATGAGGAAAGTATATTAAGAAACATGGAAGAAGGAGGTAATTAAGATAGGAGAGGTGTTGGAGGAAGAATGTGGTCAAGATAGATGAAGAGCATGTTTCATGGAGAAAATTAGTTACTGACTTTTCCTCCTCTTTTTCCTCTTCCTTCCCTTGTCTTAGTTTCATTGAATTTTCTGTTTTTTCTGTATCCATGTATATCATTCAGGGTTCCAGCAGGAAACATGTCATACTCAAATCTGAACAGGTTTGAGGAGTTTGTAAAACGACTATTTACAAGGATATTAGCAAAAGGTAGGGTGGCACAAGGTGTAATACCAGCGCCCAGGACTGTTAGAAGTGGAGTGTACTTATCACCTGTAGGCTTGAGGTAATAAGGGAGGAGGCCACTCCTGGAACCCAACATCATGGAGGACTGAGGACTGGGCTTCCTGGTAGGAGCTGCCACCTTCTTCAGAGGATTTAGGAAACTATCGGTGATCTGGCTCGGAAGAAAGAACTAAGACTTCCCTCTCTCCATTCCTTATATCTTTTTTCCTCTCAGCCTCCCCAAAGTATCCTTCAACCAGAAGCCAGAGGATAGGTTACGTCAGTGAATGTGATACACGCAGGTCAACCTCCTGGAACTGAGCAGGGTAAGGATGGGTACACAATGATATAACCAGCACACCTTGCCTTCTTTCCCTCTCAGTGGCTGTACATGTAACTTTTTTTCTCTCACTGTTCCTCAGCATTCTCTTGTTAACCCAGTCTGTCCTTTATAACTAAGACTATTTTAACTTTGGCAAGTATATGTGTAGTATTGGTGTTACAACTCTTTGGGCTGATTTCTCATTATCCTTTTTCTGCCTACCTAATATTACAGTCCCAGGCTTTCTCACATAGATGTCTCACTTCTTTTGCTAATCCTGAGATCAGTTTTCTATGCTAGAAGCAGTCCTGTGCCCTCACATAGAATGAATGACAGATGACCTTGAATAATCTCCAAAAGAACTTTCCAAGAGTATAATATAATACTTACATACCAGCAGATGATATTAGATCATAGAGGCATTGGAAGGTATTGGTTTTCAAGCAACGAGAACTTGAACTTCTTGACAAAAGGAAAATGGTGATTTAATCATCTTGAGAAAGAAGTAAGAAGGTCAAAAACTAGGTTTGAAATGGACAGGAGAGATACAAGTGATGATTCAGATATGGAATATGCAGTTGGGCACCTACTTAGACTTGGAAGCAATGGAGAAGTAAAGAGTAAAGATCATTTCAGTAGTCCAAACCTGAGTAAATGAGATCACTGTGATATTATTAAGGAAAAGACAAAAAATTGAGTAACATTTTCTTGGGAAGTTGAGTCATATTTAGGGCAACTTGAAGTCTCTAGAGATGTCATGGGAACATTGAAAGATGTAGGTCTGAAGCTCAGAGAGTGGTTGAGACTAGAGAAAAAAAGAACATGTGTTTATGGATGTAGGAATGGGTGAGATTCCCAAAGGCCAGAGTATTAGAAGCTTCTCAAACTTAGGGTCATCATAAGGCTATGCTTGGATAGTGGGAATTGACTGCTCCCCCTCCTCCAGAAGCTTGTACTTCATTTGGTTTGGAATGATACGCCTGTCCCAAGGACATTATTTTTTAATGAGTATCTGAGTGATTCTGATGCAATTTAAGGTGCACTATGTTTTAGCAGAGAGAAGTTTCAGAGACCATTGCAGTTTCAGAAATATGTCAGGTTAGAAGGAAAATGGGATAGTTGAAGAATAAGAAATAGATAAGTAAAAGCCTGATCTGGGTTCCTTTATAGGTTATCTGCTTCTTCTGTCTAGCCAGCTTCAATATTCTTTCCTTGTCTTGAACCCTTGACAGCTTCACTGTTGTGTCTTGGTGTATGTTTCATTCTGTTTAGGAACCCTGGTGTTTTAGCTTCATGAACTTGTATAATTAGTTATTTTTCCAGGTTGGGGAAGTTTTCCTCTATTATTTCTTTAAGTTCTCTGTTCCCTTCTTCCCCCTCTGGGATATTCTCATATTGCCTTTTCATTCTCATATTGCCTTTTCCCTTGGAATCAGATAATTCTCAAAGTGTTTCTTCTTCTTCTTCTTTTTTTTTTTTTTTGCTTTGTATCTCTCTTCTTCCACCAGAATTCTTTGTTCATCATATATACTTCAACATCACTAATTTGATCTTCTATTTGGCCTATTCTACTTTCATAGTTTCTCCAGAATTTAAAAATATTCTCTACAGATATTTTTATATCTTGCATTTCTTTTATTTTCTTATTTAAAACTTCAATTTCGATATTCTGTTCATTAGTTTTTTCTTAGCTCATTTGTTTTTCTGTGCTTTCTTGTATATCTTTGATTAGCTTTTTGTGTTTTCTCCCATTTCTCTGAATGTTCTTATGATGGAAATTTTTATTCTGTATTTGATAGGAAGAACAGATCTTCTATGTCTTTGTGATTAGGTCCTGGGGATTTGTTCTCTCACTGTGGTGTAATATCCCCCTGAAAACTCAGGCTGCCATTTGTTGTGGTTTTTTTCATCTCATTATTATTTGCTTTCCAAAACTAAGAGTGAAGCACTTCTATTTTTCCAATAGATGGAGTTTTTATCAGGGAGAACTAATATGGATGGGTCTTCAGTGAGTGGCAGGGATGTCCTGTCTGTGGAGTCTGCTATTCTGGGTTTTTACCCAGGCCTCTTCCTGGTTTTTGATGAGGATGTTTGATGTCAATGGGGTGTCTGTTGCTTGGGTCTGCCCTCACACTCATTCAGGATGCTCACCAGTGCTATGCTGCTCTCAATGGGTCATCTGCTGAGTTGGCTTTGTCCCTCCTGCTCATCTGGAGAGCCTTCTGAGGACCTACAGTGCTCCTGCTAATGGCAGGTCTGCCACTGGCTGTGCCTCCTTCCATGGGCTATTGTCTTGCATAGCCCACATCTTGTTCAAGACACATTGTTGTAGAGTATGAAGATCAGCATAAGGCCAATCAGTTTGGTGAATAGGGGCCCATCCTGAAAAACATTGATAAAGTAATATCTATGAAGTAGTGGATTTATAAGTAACTTTACAAGGAGTGGAAGCAGTGATGGATAGTGAGGAAGTTGAGACACCTACTCTAATGCTTGGTGAACAATAGAAGCACAATAATATATTTTCTTGGCCACACAAGGACTTAGGTAGAAGGGATATTTAAAGCTCTTGAAACAGAATGTAATAATCAAAATAATTAAATTAATATATTAGCAATGCAAGCATTAACTATTTTTACCTTTCCTCATAAGAACAAAATTCATAGAACAATGAAGTCCTTTGTAGATACCTTGGAGATATTCTGAGAGCTATGTTTTTATAACACAGTCTGGAAATACAAATAGTTAATAGGTTTGTTTATTCTAAGTAGGTCAGAGCAAATCATTCTAATGGTTTTGAATTGGCATGAACAAGCAGGACTACCCTCTCATCTTGCAAATGCGTACTGCTCTTCGCAAATGAGCATATTTCCAAAAATGAGCCATTGTAGATAATTCTTTGTAGAAAGATAAATTATGCCCAAAGTGGCACCCATCCACCTGCCTGTTCAATATTTCTTTCCCTCCTCCAGGCACATGTGTTGCTCAATATGGGAGCTTTCTTCTAAGGACTTCATGCTCAACTGGGTAAGATAGCACTAATCCCCAGGAAAGGCTCAACTGCTTAACATCATGCCTGATGTTAAGACATCAAGCATGCAGAGGCATATGGATTTTTGTTGATCACTCTCAATGGGAGAGAAGATTTCATTAGCCAAAGAAAGATACCTTTTTGTAAAATTTAGTGACTGAAAGAAAAAAGAGTCAGGGATGTTATTGTCAAGATAAACTGTGGAGGCAATTCATCTACCAACTCCAAGAAGACTGTTTTGGGGACTTTCACATATACTGTAAATTATGATGAAAGGATAATCTGACTTATGTTACCTCATATAGTCCATGACAGAACCCAGAAAGGTAGGCGGTGTTATCAACATTTTGCAAAGGATAAGACTAAAAAATGAGGAAACTTATACAAGGTTGTCCAATTAATAAGAGGCCAAGGAGGAGCACAAATTCACAGACAGCGCCTCCCTGGTGGTGCAAGGGGTTAATCTCAGCACTATGAAGCTATCCTCAGCCACTGCAGCATGGGTTTGATCCCCAACCAGGGAGCTGACCTGCATGGTGTAGCAGACCTCTTTTGTCTCACCTGCTGCTCCCCTCAGCAGTGTATTTCAGTAGATCTGCCTGATCTGCTCCCCACTCTCTCTCTGGTGAATCCTCTCACTACACTCCTCCCCACCCACCCCCACACATCTCTGGTGTATACCCCAGTTCTTCTATGTAAAAATAAATAAAATCTTTAAAAAAAATTCACAGACAAAATCTCTCTTTTACCCCAGTAAAATTGTATAGCAATACCAGCAGTGATCCAAGCAATAGCACATTCATGACATTTGTTTTTGATTCATGTAATACAATTTTTAACAGATTAATTGTGCCAATGAAAAGTGTGAAGTCATCTAGTTTGTACATAGTTTCTCCTCCCTTTTTTCTTTCTACTAAAACTTAAAAAAAAAAAAAACAAACTTAAATCCAAGCCACATTTCTTAGAGTCCTCTGAAATACTTGGCTCAGGTTTATGTCCTCTCCCAGTGCTAAATTACTCTTGTTATTCCCATGTTTATGGAGAGTAAAAAATCTCTTTTTACTCACTATATATGTATGGGCTTTTCCTCATCAATGGGAATTTTCATTTTTTAAGTAAATAACCATTAACCATTCTCCTGCTCATCTTGATGTCAAAAAAGAACAATTCGTTCCCCTGACTGACTGAAATAGAGATATCAAGGAAATTTCTACAGGAGGTACAGAGAAATTATTTGTTTTGCCTGTTTTCCTGCTCTCCTTGCATCTTCTGTCAGTGGTTTTATCATCAAGTTAGTCTAATTGTTGCATTTCAGGCTCCATGTTGCTATAGTAAAAGTGCTTCAACTCTTGCCACAGTTTCTTTATAACATTTATGCTTTATACAACCCATTCTGAGAATCTTAGAATTGACAGGAGATGGTCTGAGAAGATTAGAATGATCCCACTGGCTTTGTGAAGGTTTGGAAACGCACAATTGGAAACTAAAAAACTCTTTGATGCCAAAAATGATGAATAATGCTTCCTAAACCCAGTGCAAGAACTACTTGACATGCAGTAGGCACATTTATCAACTCCTTGAGATAAAAATGATTATTCTTCCATAAGCCTTTAGACCCTGGTACAAGGTGTGCTTGACACACAGTAAGAACTTGATAAATATTATTAAACAAGAAATTCCCCTCCTAGGTATTTACTCAGAGGACAGAATCATTAATTCAAAAGGGCACCTGCATCCCTATGTTTATAGCAGCACTATTTACAATAGCTACGCTATGGAAACAACCCAAATGCCCAAGAATAATGACTGGATCAAGAAGATGTGGTACATATACACCATGGAATATTACTCAGCACTCAAAAAAGATAAACACATGCAATTTGCAGCAACATGGATGGAACTGAAAGGGATCATGCTCAGCGAAATAAGCCAGAAAGAAAAAGAAAAACACCAGATGGTCTCGCTCATAGCAG